AAATCTCATGATTATGAAATTCAATATTAACTATATCTCAGATCCATTCCTCTATGGGTGTGGATCTTGCCTTTAAATGTCCAATTACCCTTTTGCATTGTGAATTACCATTTTCAAAAGCCAAAGATTTACTTAGTATTTGTCTAGCTTCTGGATTTAGTGTTCCTTTATTTACAGCTGAAATCAATTTTTACAAAAAAAAAAAAAAAAAAAAAATCAGTGAAGGTTTCTTTTGGGCCCTGTGTAGCTTTAGTAAATGACTCAATTCTCTTTTCAACTTCTTCAACTCTGTCCCAAACATTCAAAACTGCTGTATGGCATAGAACCAAGGTGTGTTCATCATATATAGATTGTCTTTGTACATCAACATAATTGCCCTCTCCAACAAGTTGGTCTTGGAAAATTTCAGTACCTCTAGCCCTAATTCATTGTTCAATTGTCCTAGCCTCATCTTACCACCAGGTCTTCCACTGTAATTGAGGACCAGGTTCCAATACTGCTGTAACCAAGTCTTCTCAGTCTTGTGGGATAATTCTGTTACTAGTTGTCCATGAATTTAACATCTGCCTCACAAAAGGTGAGTGCATACCATGTGAGACTATTGCTTCCTTAAATCTCCTCAAATCTAACCCTTCCACAGGAATCTAGTGAGCTCTTCCATAGCCTTGGTGATACCTGTCACTTGGTGGTTGTTCCTGTATGGTGACTGGATTAATTAAGGTTGGATTTTTGATAACCTTGGGCTGTTCCTCTCTAATTTCATAATGTAATGGTGAGGTTGGTTCTCCTTTAAATTCCTCTGTCTGTGTCTGAATATGTCTATTACCTGTTTTAATAAGTGTTTCTAAGGCTTGTAACTTATCAGTCAAAATTGCATTATTTCCTTTAGTAATTATTTGTAGGGCTTGCATATTATCAGTAGTAACTTTTTCTAAGGCCTGTGTCATATCAATTTCTAATATTTGTCATTGATAACAATCAACATTTTATGGATAAAACAAGAATTGCCAAACCAATAATGATTATAATTAATACTATGTAATTATAATACTATGTAATTATATATATATGCAAAGGTAGTCTTCCACCCACCAGAATTACCTGGGCTTTCTTTGAGAAAAACAAACAAACAAACAAACAAACCGTGTAACTAATATGTCATCTGCTAGGTAAGAAACTGTCCAGACACCATTGACCAGCACAGAATGCTCAGCTGACTGTCTAGTGACTGTCTATCCTCATGGTGTTTGTAATTTGTGCCGGTGGCACTTCATGGACAAAGTGGCAGTCCGTCAACAGAAAAATGGAAAAACAGCTAGTGTTCTAGGTTCATCCTTAGTGAGAAAAAGGAGCAGACTCCTGGAAGAAAGTATATACATTTATATTCAGCCGAGTGTAAGCTTGCCCCAAGAGAATTCCAGCTAATGCATCTATATAAAGTCGAGAAGAGGAAACAGGACAGTGATTACTTCTAAAACTGGGAAGGGATTGACTAGGAAAGGCCAAGAAAGAACTTTGTCTGGTGATAATGTCTGTAGTTTGATGGGGATTGGTTCACAGAAGTGTGTACATCTATCAAAGCTCACTGAATGGTGTACTTAAGCTGTTGGAATTAGTGTGTGAGTTTTTCCTCAAGGGGAAAAAGGCCCTAGACAGAGTGATTTGATGGAGGAGATGTAAGGACCGACCACCGTGTGTGAACCACTGGGTTTGACTACTTTCCCAATAATTGTTTCTTTCCACACAGATATAATTACTCATAGATTATTAATATAATATTTTAGCATTTATCTTTAAAAATTCATGGCGCTTTAACTATTTTAAGGAGTATGTTTATTTACTCATATAAATATTGTATTAAAATATTTTGTGTGTGACTGTGTGTGTGACTCGGTGGTCTAAGGCCCTGAGTTATTTGACCCCAGTGCCAAAAAGAGAAGAAAAGCCATGTCTTCATTAGTAGGTTTATTGGTCAGTAGACAAAGATTATGATAATGTAGTCTTTTATTCTGGTTATTTTTTAACATCAGGAATGTAATTTTGGAGGGTGGAGAGCTGGTTCTGTCAGTAAAGTGCTTGCCACATGTGAGGGCCCAAGTTCATGTCACAAGCACCATGTAAAAGCTTGGCATGGAACACATCCCTGTAATTCCAGTGTTGTGCTGGGGGAAGAGACAGGAGTACTCCTGGGGCCTGCTAGTCAGCCAGTGTCTGTCTCACAAGCAAGAGCCAAGAAGGAAGCACCAGCATCAACCTCTGACCCCTCACTTCTGTCTCTGACAGGAGCTCACTGTGTAACTCCAGCTGACCTGGAATTCATGACCCTCCTGCCTCAACCTCCTCAGTGCTGTGATTACATCCATGTGCCACCATACCAAAGATTTTGTATTCTGCTGTTTTTTCTAAAGGTGTGTGTGTGTGTGTGTGTGTGTGTGTGTGTGTGTGTGTGTGTGTGTGTGAACTCCATGGGGTTTTAAGTATAGAATTATGTCATCTACAAATAGGAATAATTTAATTACTCCTTTCCAACCTATATCCCTTTTAGATCTTTTTGTGTGCATGTGTACATATGTGTCTGATGTATGTATGTATGTATGTATGTATGTACGTATGTATATGGGTTTGTGTCTGTGTATATGTGGACATGTACACTTACCTGTGCATGCACATATGAAGACCAGAGGTTGACCTTGAGTATCTTCCTCCATTGCTCTTGACCTTATTTTAATTTCATTTTGTTTTGTTTTGTTTCCCCAGACAGTTTCTCTGTGTAGCCCTCACTGTTCTGGAACTCCCTTTGTAGACCACGGTGGCCTTGCAGAGATCCGCCTGCCTCTGCCTCCTGAGTGCTGGGATTAAAGCGTACACCACCACACCTGGCTATAATTTTTAAAGATATCATTTTTATGATATATAATATATAATGATATATATTATATAACACACATATGATATATATTATATAACATATGTATGATAGATGTTATATAACACACACACACACACACACACACACACACACACACACACACACATATATATATATATGATATATAAAGGCATGCACCACCATGCCCAACTCTTATTTTAATTTTTTTAAAGATAGGGTCTCTCAATGAACCTGGAGCTTGTTTTGGCTGGACTTTGACCCGTGAGCCTCTGGGATCTGCCTGTCTCCATCCATACATTCTGGGATTACAGATATGTGCTGCTATCCAGCCTTGGGTGGATAGCAGCACATGTCTGGGTGCTGAGGATCTGAACTTGGCTGCTTATGTTTGCACAACAGACACTTTGCCCCTGAGCCACTTCCCCAGCCCTAAACAAAAAATATTTTTAGGTGTTTTGAGAAGCTCCACATTGATTTCCATAGTGGTTGTAATAGCATACACTCCCTTGAATAGCATTTCCATTACAATCAGGAACAGTAAGAATGTCTTCCTTCTTCATTCTTATTTAGTATTGCTCCCAAAATCCTAGCCAGAGCAAGAAGACAAGATAGAAAGCTATGGAAGGGGGCAACCAAATGGAGAGCGAGTGATAGAGGAAGTCACCTGGTGTCCTTCTGTGGCCTCCACACTTGGGTACACCTACACACTCATGTGCACACACAAACACACAAGAAAAGAACTAACTAAAAATAGGCTTTTTATATATGTCTGACCCATTCTTGGGCATAAACCCAAAGGATTATATATGCTATTATTATAGAGACACTTGCCCATCCATGTTTATTGTTGCTCAAGGAATTGGAATCAGCCTAGATGTCCATCAACAGATGAATGGATGCTGTAATACACACACACACACACACACACACACACACATGATAGAGTTTTATTCAGTTGTTAAAGAAAAATGAAGTTATGAAGTGTACAGCAAATGAATGGAACTGTAAAACATTTTAAGTAAGGTAAACCTTGGCTCAGAAACATGAATCCCATATGTTCTCTCTTACCTGTGAACTCACAGACATGAAACTCACAGATAGAAAGCACTGGTGCCCTCTGGATAGTTCTTATTATCTATTTCTGGGAAACATTACCCTAAAATAGAGCTAAGTTTCTTAGACTATCTAAGCATAGAGAAGAAAGGAAAGGTGAAAGGGGTGTCATCCTAGAAGATCTAGGATCCTAGGCCCCCCTACAGCTCGTCATTTGCCAGTCTGGGATGAAGCTGTGAAGTATGTTGTTGCATACACATGCACAGGTCTTCAGCCTGTTTCCTAGCTCTGAGCAAGTTTTCAGTCACTCCTACAAAAAAGAATGGGGCAGGGAAATGGCTTAGCACTTAATGTGCTTGCTGTGGAAGCAAGAGGACCAGAGTTCGGATCCCCAAACTCCATAAATACCAGGAGGTTTCTCACCTGCAATTCTAGCCTCTGGAGGTAGAGGTGGGGTCCCCAGAACAAGCTGCCTAAGGAGACTAGCCATGTTGACAGCAAGCTCTGAGTTCAACTGAGAGTCATTGCCTCAAAAAGAATAAAGTAGAGGGCAATCAAAACAACTGGCGACACCTGTGGATGTCCTTGTGCCTGCACACTCACACACACATATGTGCCCACACACATGTGAACACACACCACACAATGCCCATTCATGCACATGTAGAGAAGAAATAAAATTTTACATAAGGGAAAAAGGAAATGGAAAGGTAATTTTAGAATTGAGGGCTGGTCTTAATATTAGACATAGCATGGAGGTCTTCGGAGATCCATGAGTAATAAGGGCCCAAGGGACCATGAGCAAACAGAATAGAAGAGAGGATGTCCACATGCCCTCCCCTGCCTGTAAGACCCCCGTTTGTAGGATAGAACATAGTTGCCCATTGGAAAAAGGCTTTTGAGAGCAATTACATTCCCATGTTCTCCAGTGGTGGAGAGCAGTCAGGCTCATCTTTCTTGCCTCTCAAACCTGCCTGCATGCCATTGGCTGCCAGCTTCATCTCATGCATCCCTGGTGCCTGTAAACACTCATGGGCTTTTCTTTTTTACAGTAAGAAGAAAACATACCCCATAGAGACCATCTTCTGGCAGAAGATGATAGACTGGAACCAGAAAGAGGAGGAGCTGGAAGCCAGGAATCCAAAGTGAAGAAACTCTGCGAGCCCTTGGGTGAGAAAGGTGATGGGTTGTTTGTGTCCTTACGTGCTGACTGTCCCACACCGCTGTTAGGTGGTGACCCACGGTGAGTGGTTGTCTGTAAGGAGAAGGTGGAACAGGAACAGGCTGCTGGAGTGAGTTGTTTTTGAAAAAAGAAAACTGTAATGCTTTTTTTTTTTTTTTTTTGTGGTGTGTGTGCGCCTGTGACACTTGTGTGGAGGTCAGAAAAGAGCCTGAAGGGGTTGGTTCCTCTCTCTACTGCGTGGGTCTTGGGGTGGAACTCAGGTCTTCAGGCCTGGGAGCACTGTTACCCACTGAGCCCTCTGGCTGGTTTCCACTACACATTCTCCACAGGCCACATCAGTCAGGACATCTGTCTGTCCCTTGTCTGCCTTCCCTCCTTTCAAGGGTGGATGCTTGCTCTGAAATATCTCAGAGCTGACATTCCTGATCCCTGTTGCTGCCAGGCACCATGGTGTTGGGTCTTCCTTGCATTATTTCATCCCCTTCTCAAAACAACCTGGTTATGGAGATAAAACAACTGAGACTCTAAAGGGGTTAAACAGTTTGCCCACAACCAGAAAGCTAGGAAGTGGCACAATCCGGTTTTAAACTCCTGCTTTGTGAGTTCACCTCTAGACTCAGTACCTCCTTTCCCTTCCCAGAAGAAAAAGGGGGAGTTGCGTTTGTAACTCCTTCCCTGTAGCCCAACAAGCACCCTGGCTTGACAGCCTCTTTTGGAAGGTTGGTTGCCAGTTCCTGGGAGTTAAGCATTAACATTTTCATTATCAAACTCTGGAAAAGTCAGAGAGGACCAAAAGAAGTCACCGTACTATTGCTGACCTTGCATACCTGCACTTTCATGTATTAATGTTTCTGCTTCCAGGCCTTTTCCCTTTATGAATATTTCCCTATAGGACATCTGTTTTCAGCCGGGTAGTGATGTATGCCCATAACCCCAACACTTGGGTAGCTGAGACAGGAGGATTACAAGTTTTGAGACCATCCCTGGTCTATATAGTGAGATCCTGTCTGAAAATAGAGAGGGGGAAGAGGAAAAAGAATGGAGACAGAATGAGGAAAATCCACTGTCTTCATGTTTTAAATATCGGTAGAGTTTTCACACCCACATTGTAGTAAGTCTCCATTGCGACTGCTGGCACCTGGCAGCTAGAGAAAGCCTCACCATGATTTACATCTGCTGCTTGTACTAGTGTCTGTCCTTTGTGGTTTCTGGAGAGTCCTCTGGCAGTGTTTTTTTACAGTTCATGCTGGCCAAGCACTTTAGCAGTGAGATCTTACTGTGAAGCCCAGGCTAGTCTGACACTTGCCATGCAGCCCAGGCTGGCCCTAACCTCATGATCCTCCTGCCTCAATCTTCCTAGTACTGGGATTTCAAGCATGTATCCTATTTTCTTAAACCCTTTTAATCTACAACACCTGGTCAAGTGTTTTTGTTGTTGTTGTTTGTTTGTTTGTTTGTTTTTGTTTATCTGTTTGTTTGGCTTTTTGGAATTAAAATGGAATTTGCCATTTGATTTCTCCACACTCTGGAATGACTAAGTGTCTTGGTGTATCTGTCTTTTTATCCCTTTGTAGGTTCCCATCACTGTCACCATGCCAGAAATGACAGAGCATGAGACGCCGATGAAGAAGCAGCACAGGTGTGTATCCACAGCCTCAAATAATACCATGTAGGCAGGTAAGACACAGAATTAGCTCCCAGTTTGCTAAACAGTCCTTAGTGAACTTGCATTTGGATGCCTAGAAAATAATTAATCTCCAAAATATGTGTGGATGGGTAGAAACAGATTTACTAAAAGAGATACATGGATCAAATTTGCCCGTCCTTATTTTCTCAGCAGTGTGACAGGTAAGAATGGTCATCAGTAGATGAAGCAAAGCAGTCACAAGAGGCTCACAGAGACTGAACTGACAGCCAGGGAGGCTGCATCAGACTGACCTAGACCCTCTGCATACATGTGACAGTTGTGTGTTGCTGGAGGGCTTCTCTCCAGGTTCCCCAAGCCCCGCAGTCCCACAATCCACTTATAAAATAATCACTCAGACGCTTATATCACTTATAAACTGTATGGCCACGGCAGGCTTCTTGCTAACTGTTCTTATATCTTAAATTAACCCATTTCTATAAATCTATACCTTGCCACATGGCTGGTGGCTTACCAGCGTCTTCACATACTGCTTGTCCTGGCGGTGGCTGCAGTGTCTCTCCTCCTTCTTCCTGTTTCCCCAATTCTCCTCTCTCTTTGTCCCGCCTATACTTCCTGCCTGGTCACTGGCCATCAGTGTTTTATTTATATAGAGTGGTATCCACAGCAGTTGTGTAGCTTGGTCTTCAGTGGGAGTGAGGGCTGTCTCTGACACAGCCAGCTTTTGGAACCCTACTCCTTATACTGGGTCACCTCGCCCAGCTTTGGTAGGAGGGGAGGTACTTAGTCTTACTTAATATGCCATGTTTGGTTGCTATCTATGGGAGGTCTGCCCTTTTCTGAATAGAAACGGAGGAGGGGTGGATGGGGGTGAGCAGAGGGGAGGTGAGGGGAGGGACTGGGAAGAGAGGAGGAAGGGAAAACTGCGGTTGGGCTATAAAATAATAATAATAATAATAATAATAATCTTAAGACATTATCTCAAATCTATGTTACATGTTTGCTTTCTAAGGACATTTTCACTGGCATCCTGAAACATTTCGATTGTATTTAATTTATAACATTATAATCCATTAAGACAATATACATAGCATTACTTTTATTTTCTTACAACCCCTTTCCTGAGTTTCTAGCATTTTAGGCAATGTCTGCCTAGAATTGTGTGGCCACTGTTTTTAATTAGGTTGAAACTACTATATTCTCTTTTCTTCCCAAACTGGGGAAAGCTGATGTGTTGGGTAATTAAGAAAAAGGGAAAGTCAGTGTCTTTAGTGGAAATTTTCAGGAAAGGTAGGAGTTTGGATGACCTGAGTGCACAGAAGGAAAGATGACTCAGATGCACTGACACTAAGTGCTGTCGTCCTGCATCCCCTCGCTGGGAATCGAGACGCTGCCCTGCACTTGCTCGGTCTCCTCCCCGCTCCTGCTGAGGTGCCAGAGCCTCCCCGGCACATCACAGGGAAGTTACAGTTTTAGATAGTGAAGCTTTTCAGGGATTGAGTCTGTTCTCACATGTGGTTTCTGGGTATAGGGAGAGAATTGTTCTTACTTCCTGAAATTATATCTTGTTCAAATCTTAAATAGTCTTTTAATAAAAAAACCCAGAGCCAGATATTGAGGTGAAAGCTGAAAGATCGTAGAAGCAGAGCAAGCCACAGCTTCCTCACCTCGCCAGCTCCCAAGCCAATCCTGTTTCCTCAGACTGAAAGCCTCTGAGTCCTCAGCCGAAAGGCTCTCAGCTGAACTGCTTTAGTTCCAGTTTCCTGGAGCCTTACATACCTTTCTCTGTCCAGCCATGTCACTTCCCAGATTTAAGGCGTGTGCTTCTCAGTACTGGGATTAAAGGTGTGCGCCACCCCTGCCTGGTCTCTATGTCTAATCTAGTGGCTGGCTCTGTCCTCTGATGCTCTGGCAAGTTTATTAGGGTACACAATATATCACTATAATATCTATTGAGATTATCTGCATTAAGGTTCTTATACCATGATATGAACCAATTTTCTTTTCTTTGGATGGTTCTTTATTGCTGCAACAAAGAGAGTTTCATAATACTCATTTTAATGGTTATGAGAGTAAAGATTCTTTTTTATTATGTTCACGTTACCTGTCTGTGCGCTTCTGTTTCAGAAAGAAGAATCGGGAGACACACAATGCAGGTGGGTACCACAACTTAAACTCTGCTGGAATTACTTATGCTATGGCTGATTATGCACCTTTTCATGTTGCAAACATGGAATTATTTGTTATATTTCAGAAAGGGCAACCTTTTTTTTCTTTATTGACAAAATATTCCCAGAGCTTCATGGAGCTGACTGGGTAATATCTGATTTGTAGCCTACTTTGTTTTTGTTATGATATTAGACTATTTGGGGGGCTAGAGTTGGAAGGGCTTCCCTCAGGACGCTGGGAGAATAAAGGTTATAGAGGGGCAGCTCCCCGAGGAAGGAAGAGATGAGCCGTGGGCTCTTTGAGTGTGGCAGTCTTCCTTCGGAGATAAAGTCTGCCTGTGTGACCCAGGCTGGCCTGGAACTCACAGAGATCCACCTGCCTCTTCCTCCTGAGTGCTGGCATTACAGGCTTGTGCCGCTACACCTGGTGCATGTGGACAATCCTAAACTGTACAGACTTCTATTATAGAAACAAATGTATAAAAATCAACATGATCTTATCTCTAATGTTAGAAGTACAGGACAACCTCAGATAAATGTACAATATTCATTTTGTATTCATTTTCACTTTGAAACATTTTATTTTTAATCAGAGACTGCATTCTACATTCAGGAAAAAAATTAAAAATTGCTTTCTTACACTCAGGAGGCAGAGCCAGGCAGATCTCTGTGAGTTCGAGGCCAGCCTGGACTACCAAGTGAGTCCCAGGAAAGGCGCAAAGCTACGCAGAGAAACCCTGTCTCGAAAAACCAAAAAAAAAAAATTGTTTTCTGTTAATCTATATCCATAACTATAGGTATACATAGAGGATCTTTTGGGAGAGTTTATCCAGAAAGATACATTGAACACTGGTGAGATGAGTTTATCACCTTTGAAATTCACTCTTAGATAACAATGAGTACTATTGCTAGAAAATTAATAAAGTAAACCACACTTAAAAGCCTAGAAATCAGTTATTAAAAAGGAAGACCTTAAGAGATAGCCAAGAGTAGTGTGTGTGTGTGTGTGTGTGTGTGTGTGTGTGAGAGAGAGAGAGAGAGAGAGAGAGAGAGAGAGAGAGAGAGAGAGAGAGAGAGAGAAGGTGCCCACAGTGGTTTAGATCCCCTAGGAGCTGGAATTGCAGGTGGTTGTGAGCCATCTAACAGGAGTGCTAGGAACTGGATCTGGTCTTCTGGAAGATCAATACATGCTCCCCACTGCTGAGCCATCTCTCTAGCCCTTAGGCATGTTTTTACTTTCAGCATCTTACAGAAATTATCTAAATGAACTCTTGTGTACTCTTACAGTCTGGAACATTTTGGCACTCAATTGACAAGTTTTCAGTTGCCCTATGTCCTCATTTCTGTTACCATGGTAAAATATCCTGACCAAAAGTAACATAGGAGGAGGAGCAAATTTATTTGGTTTACAGTTCCAAACTACTGTCCATTACTGAAGGAAACTCAAGGCAGGAACTCAAGCAGCCAGTCACATTACATCCAAGGTCAAGAGCAAACAAACAATAAACACATTCTTGTTTGCTTTCAGCTACCTTTTTTCTCTCTTGTACCATTAAGACCTCATCCTAGGGAATGGAGTCACCCACAATAGACTAGGTTTTACTGTATCAATTTTCAATTAAGACGGTCCTCCATAGATAAGACCACAAGACAACCTGATATAGGCAAGTCCTCACTAAAATTCTCTCTTCCTAGGTGATCTTAGGCTATGTGAAGCTGATGTTAAAGTTAGCTGGTACTCCCTGTTTCTTAGATAGAAAAGATTCTTCCTGGCCAGAGTAGTTATCTCAGAAACCATAGAAAACCAAGCCAATGCCTTTTCTTATCTATTGTAAGACACAACCAACAGCTTCTTCTATTCCAGAAAGGCCTAGTCATCCTACACTAGGTGTTTTAAGGTTCTTAAAATTTAAAGAAAGGTCTCACTTGCCAAAAGAGTCAGCTCACGGTAACTCATTAGTGGTTTCTTTCGATTCGGTCATTGGGCTGTTGGGATGACTCAGCAGGTGGGGTGGCTTGCACTGAGCAGGGTAACCTGAGTTTGACAACTGGAACAGACATGGCGGAAAGAGAGCACTGGCTCCAGCAAGTCATCGTGTGACCCCATGTGTGTGCAGTACACATACACCCACACATGTGCATACACACACATACACACACTCAAATAAATAAAAAATAATACATGTAACAAGATGAAAGTGAATTTGAAAAATAAATTTGTTATCAATAAATCATAATGGAAAGATGGCCTAATAATTCCTTTTTAATTGTTTTAATGTAGTTATTCATGGTTTTCTTTACAATGCTTATAAAAGCGCATTTATTTCATAACACTTGACGTAAAATATTGCATTCTTAGAAACTTTATGTACAACCTTACTTGTCTTTGGTGAATAATGATTTTCGGCTCAAGGTTGAATTTCTTCTCCTATGTCCATGCTAGGCAGGTGCTCTGCCACTGAGCTACAGCCCCCGGCCTCTTCCATATGACTCTTTCCTGACAGTTGCTTTACCCTGGGAAATTGGGCACTTTGTCCACGTAGTATAAGGGTTGCTAATGTGTTTCTCCTCTTTCTAGTGGAGAGGCACAGAAAGAAGAAAATCAATGCTGGGATAAACAGAATAGGAGAACTGATCCCGTGTTCCCCTGCTCTGAAGCAGGTAGGCACCCCTCACCCTCTGAAGCAGGTAGGCACCCCTCACCCTCTGAAGCAGGTAGGTACCCCTCACCCTCTGAAGCAGGTAGGCACCCCTCACCCTCTGAAATAGGTAGGCACCCCTCACCCTCTGAAGCAGGTAGGTACCCCTCACCCTCTGAAGCAGGTAGGCACCCCTCACCCTCTGAAACAGGTAGGCACCCCTCACCCTCTGAAGCAGGTAGGCACCCCTCACCCTCT